GCCTCGCATTGGCCTCCCTATACACATGCTCAAAACTCACTTCAATTCAAAATCCATAATCTCAATCTCTTATATTCTATAATTATTGACAACCTAAACAATATGATTTTAATAGAAATTGATTTTTTAAAATTCTATAATCTCTATAAATATTGATAACCTTAATATTTTAGGACTTTGAAATCGATTATCGATAACCTTAAAAATTTAGGACTTTGAAATCGATTTTGTTAAGATTTCTATCACTTGAAGTCTTAGGTTTCTTGATTACAGTCTCATGCACATAAGCAGGCCCACCTATCCACAATGAAAAGGGGACAACAAAAAAGGCCCAAGACCGGTTTTGGAGGAATAACACAGGTTTTGTTCATCGGTGATTGATACATGTTTCATGACCGCTCTCTCTCATTGATTCCTTTTCTATTTTCTAGTTCATTGTGGTTTCTTCCAACCTCAGGCGTTTGAGCTCGTTGTGTCTTCTTCCAACCTTCGACATTGAATTCATTTCGAGTTGCAGAGAGCCAAGTCTCAAGTTGTCTTAAGTTCAAAAGGTCTCTCAAGGAGGCAGATCCATCTCTTTGTTTTCTCACCAAGAGGGACAACGAGGTCAAGCTTCCAAGATCCACAAGGGTCAAGAACAAGACCCCTGCACCCATCCAAATCACTGCAGAGCAGATTTTACGAGAGGGTCGTGAGCGTCAGGAGGCCGAAATCAGGCCCCCCAAACAGAAGATCACTGATGCAATTGAGCTTGCATATTATAGCCTAGAGAAAAGCAAGGAATTTGAAGATTTGATCAGAAAGGTCAGGTGGAACACAAGTATGTGGATCAAAAATGATCAATGGGAGGAGAGCCAAAAGGATATTGGTCGAGCCAGGTCAGTTTGGAGCGTGCTCTTGAAGTAAACCATAGGGATCCCACATTATGGTTGAAATATGCAGAGGTGGAGATGAAGAATAGGTTCATAAACCATGCGAAAAATGTGTGGGATCGAGCGGTCACTCTTCTTCCTCGAATCGATCAGCGATGGTGCAATTACATATACATGGAAGAGATGTTGGGTAATGTTGTGGGTACTCGACAGGTTGGATGAGTTGGGAGCCTGACCACAATGGTGGGCTGCCTACAATAAATTTGAACTGAGGTATAATGAGATCAATAGAGCAAGATCAATTTATGAGAGGTACGTACAGTGTCATCCTACTGTTAAGGCTTGGATATGGTATGCGAAGTTCGAGATGAAGAATGGGAAAATTGCTCGAGCTCGGAGTTGCTATGAAAGAGCAGTTGAGAGCTTAGGGGAGGCTCGGCATAATGAGGAGCTCTGTGGTATTGCGGAGTACGAGGAAAGATGCAAAGAGATGGATAGGGCTCGATGCATAGTTCGAGGAAAGATGCAAAGACTATGCTATGCAACAACTCCTTTGGGCAAAATAACTACTTGGTAGGCGTTTTTTATTGTTTTGAAAGAAGAAAAAAAACAGGATTTTTAGATCTTGAACACTATATCTTTCCCTCTAAAAATTGGACAATTCCTATTCAATCTTGAAATGTTATTTTTTTAGGCATGTAGAGTGAGAATTTTGAAATTTTTTTTTTGTTTTTTTCTCCTTCGAGTTTGATAGCTGAGCTCTAGAGATTACATCCCTAAGTCATGTACATGTGGGTGTTTGAGCCTGCAACCTGAGAAAGAGAGATGAAAAAACCATAAAGAACATTTTTGGCTATGCAGAAGAAACAAAAAGCCCACTTCCTGTAAAAAACAGAGAACCAGTGGAGACAGAGGAAGACAGACGGAGAGAAGCAATAAACTAGGGAAAAAAAAAAGACAGTTAATCCAGTAAAAAAGGAAGCGAGACCGAATCCTTACATTACATACCCTTCTACAAACCCCAACATACACAAACAGGGGATATAAAACCCAGAAAAACTCCTCTCTCTAACCGCAAGCTCCTGTGTGGTTTGCTGAAAGCCTCGACAAGAACTCGCAAGTAGTGATCCATAGCCATCGCCAGTAATGAAATCGATCTCCAACAAAGGCCCCAACCCCCTGTGACCCACTGTAATCACTCCTCTTACCCACAAAATGCCAACAAAATCCCAGAAGAAGCAATTTCATCTTTATGTTAATCTAAGGGCATTGTCGGCCGTGCCAAAACAATCCCTGCCATGCCGGGCTCAGACCCTGTTCAGCCACCAACACCCTCGGCCTTGTCTCACACCATTAGTATCCTCGTTGTTGATTTTACCCTCCTCCCCAATGTTTATTTGCCACAAGTGACAAACAAATACGACCCAATCCATCTATTGTGCAATTGAACACAGGTGGAATTCGATGCATAAATCAAAATCAAGATCCCGAATCATCGGTAAAAGCCTAGCAGCACACCATAACATTGAGAGTCCAAAATGTAACCCTATATATAATTCCAATTTGTGCAACCAAACACGAAGCCCAACATACTATATTCAACAGAGCATACATCAAAATTGAGACCCAGGATCTTCGGTAAAAGCCTAGAAGCACACCATAACGTTCAGAATTCAAAATGTAACTCTGTGACTCCAATTCATCAATTTGCACAACATACAAAGAGTCTAAAGTCTGACTCTTGACATGGCAGTCTTGGGTAAATCCAACATTCCCTCAGCATAATTCTATCTCACATATCAGATATTTTGAAGATCTCCTATAAAGTTTAGGAGATTTTGAATTTCAAGTCCTTTCAAATATTTAAAAAAAAAAATCAATAACCTCATGAAACTAGGATTTAAGTAGATAACAACTTTCCTAAGTATGGAACTTCTTTACATCTCGACAACGTCAAGAAATAAGGATTTTAACAAAAGCCAATTTTACTGAAGTCTAGGACTTCTATAAATCTTGATGAACTCAAGAAATTAAGACATCAATTGAGATCAATTTTTCTATTGGAAATTAATTGTACAATTCAAAGCCTGCCTCTCTCTCTCTCTCTCTCTCTCTCTCTCTCTCTCTCTCCTCCTCACACACACACACACACACACACACACACACTACACTACACTACTACGTACGTACGTCGTACGTACGTAACGTAAACGTAAAACGAAAAACGAAAAA